TCCATTGTAAGCTCTCACAGGCAGGGCCCTCCTTACCATCTTGTCTTGACTTGTATTGCAACTGTAATGTCTTCCTTATAATGTAAAACGCTGTGCAAACTGTTGGCACCATTTAAATCCTATATAATAATAATATAATAATTAGATGAATAGTAACCTTTTTGATGGGTGGTGTGTTATAACTTGGCTTTCTAGCAGAGCTCTGTATGCTGCTGCTATTTAATGTGTTGGATAATGTGTTCCATCACTGGTTGCGGTGGTTCCTCCCGCTGTCTTCTACATGTACAATACTAAGTTTTGTAGTTACATAAAGGGGTCAGCTGGAGAAACCCAGAATTCGTAAGTGTTTGACGGCAGCAGAGCCTAAAGCTGGCCATACACCTATAGATTATCTGCAGAGTCCTGATGGCGGCTAAGGAATTGGAGTGGTGAGATTTCCTTTGGTTCTAAATTTGATTGGATGCAGGCATTGTTCAGATATTTTGAGAGCCAGCGCGGGCCGACTAGCAAGATAATGAAGATTGGCCCAGTGGGAGATTCCTCCATCCACACAGTTTAGCTGTTGCACTTTTTCCATCTGAATATAGAAAATCTGCAGATAATATATAGGTGTATGGCCGGCTTGAAGCTCTGCAAGAGTGAAGTTTTAACACACAACCTACCAGAAAGGCAACATTACTCTTCTTCAATTGCAGGCTACTTTATTTTGTTTCGTTGTCATGGAAGCGACAGGGTCGCTATTATTTAGTAATACTGATTATGACCATCTACAGATTAGTCACAATTAAGCTAATTCTTAACCATCTAGCTAGAAAGAGTGTGTCTTTTGGTTATGTGGATAAAAGATGCATCCACTTCAAGAGAAGGCAGTGTTTTTACATAAATGTAGTCATGTACCCAGCTTTCTTTTAAAAGCATAGATCAAACAAAAGGCATTCTGAATTAATTAACAAAAACTTTTCCTTTTATGTGTGAAACTTTTGAAGGTTTGCTTTCAGGAAGATGAAAGTAAAATGGAATGTTTGACCAGACTGTACAATCTGCAATCTCCTTTTCAACAAGAAGTAGCTTCTAATAGCTGAACAAACGCTGCTCTGCTTGGCCCTTATGGAAATATTTGTTCCTTTCAATGCATCTCAGTGGTACATCATTTGTGTTAAGCTTCGTGTTGACCTTTGTGACATACAGAACTAATGATGTACCATTGGAAGGTCAAATGTATTTCAGAATAACTTGTTACTCATACAAGGTTCTTTGGTACAAAGGTGCTGGAATTTGTCAGTAAACAGCATGAGAGGGATTGTTATCAAAGTCAGCAGGAAGTAGATGACTCAGTTACCTACAACATTTATAAATGTCATGTTTCCAAGCAAAGAACAGAGATGGCTAAAATCTCTAAACCACCAGCTGAGCTTTGTGTTGAATGTTTGCAAGTGGGATTTAGATGTATTGCTGAATTTAGACCGGTGAGAATCCCCTTTTCTCAATGTGTTACTATAAATTGTGGGTGTGGCTAATAAATCAGTGTAGTGCACAAACCTGAACTGATGAAGTATGGAGACTGCTAGTTCCCTGGCTGGCATGCTCATTCAGTTACTTCTAAGTAACAGGACTTGTCCTAACTTCACTCTGACTACCACTTACAACACTTATACAATTACCTTTACCATTATATTTACCTAAATACAGTGTTTATTGATTTTACATATCAACTTGATAATAAGTGACAATAAACCACTACAATGGAGAACCTTAAATTTGTTGCTACATGTTATTATCTTTGTCAGAAAAAATAAAGCATAATAAAACCCACGCTCATGGATTTAGAAAAAAAGCCATGGGCCTCCAGATATGATAAATGGTTGTGGATGACCCCTTTGTTCATAGGTCATTTTATATAGGGGGCAATACCTGATCAATTCATTTCTTCCATTCTTCTAGAGAATTCTCCCAGCTGTCAAGTGTATAGGTAAAAATTAGGAAAGGCCAGACCCACAAGAGACTGGGAAAGTTGTAGAAGCTCAAGGGACATTGTAGGAGTCTGGTTTCTCCAAAGGAAAGAGGGACACACACTGGAAGTATGCCAAGTATAGAGGTATTGGGCAAGGGGAGCTGGTGAGGATATAAGGATGTATAGTATTTTGGGTAAAGAAAATATTTATCCTAAAACAGACTCTGCCCAAAAGGTCTAAGTGCAAGCCTATCCATTTTTTTTGTCTTGGCCAGTAGTGTGTATCAATGAGTGAGAAGATTATTGGAGATGTAAGTTGTAATGGCCAACTAATGGGTAGTTGGACTTTTACCTAAGTACTTTATTTGGTTCACAATCTTTAGTTGAGGATAACTGTACTAAAACGGCAGTAAATCTTTAATCTTAAAACAAGGTACTTACATATCACAGCTGTACTTTCAGAGCAGTTTTGGAAAAAAGGGATAAATCTTCCTTGTTGCAACAACTTTCCATTCTAAGCAATATGATAACACCTACTGTATTTTACATTTCTTACATGTTTGTATTGACATAGCATAACTTAAATATGGAAAAATATTTAAAAATTGCTGCTTTTCCTTAAGGGCGTTCTATTTCCTTTTTCCTATCTTCTTTTCCTCCTCTCTTTCCACCTTCTGCTTTTTTTTCCCTTTCTTGCCATTTCTCTCCTTTTTTTTCTTCCCCTTACTTCTGTTCTCGTCATTAACCATTTTGTGCTTTTATTTTATATTTGTTTATCCAGTAACAGCAAACTACCAATTATCACCTAGATCGTTGTTATATTTATCTGTGATGGTCTGTTACTATAATATATAATTTTTCCTCTTTTTTTGATACCTGGATATGTTTTGATTATTTTTTCATGTACATGCATATTCACATATGTCCTCTTATGAACTTACTGGATCACTGACTGTAACTTACTTTGTTTTTATCTGTTTTCCATTTATAAGTATCTATGCATTTTTGTATTTGTGTTTTGATTTTCAATAAAAAATGTTTACACAGAAAACAAATTGCTGCTTACATCCTTAAGTGCTATTTACTTGCTTAAAAATCCTACCTAGCTTCCGGCCTATGTAATAAGGAGGGGGCTGTGACAAGTTATGTTTTCTCTAATAAACTGTCTGTACTGTGCTGGCAGATTTTACTATCAGTTGTAAACTTGATTTGTACACTGTCTGTCGTAACAAAGGGTTAAAGACTTAGAAAAATTCTATGTTAATAAGAGGAAGCTCAGTCTGCAAGTGAAAGTAGAGGGTCAAACTGAGTGACAAACTGCTCAGAGTAGACTGGATTCTGCACAAAGGCCATCACCAAAGAGACATGTAAAAGGTACCGTTGCTATGCTGTGTAAATGGGAACACACAACAAACATATAGTGGGGCTTTCTCTAATGTGACAGCTCTGCCAGTGCCACTTTAGCCCTGTAACAGTGTGAACATGCTTCTAAGCAAAAAAAGGTTGGTTCCAAAGTGTTAAATGTAATAATTCTTAATTTTTCTCCTAATTCTTTCCACAAAAATACTTAAGCACAAAGGGGTATTATGAGTAAAAGGTGGAGGATAAGGACAGTTTCCTGTGTGGCCCAAAACAAGCACATTCTAGCTGGGATTCTGTTCAATGCAGCTAGACAGATGGCAGCTGGAATCTGATTATTTACCAAGGAATACTTTATAGGTGGTAACGGGGTCAGTCACACCTTTGGAGTCACATGTATAAGTCACACTTTGAAACGTCTAGTACAGAATCAAACTGCTCATCACTTTGGCTTCTTTAGTGTGAAGCATTCACAATAGTCAGCTTACATTTCACAGAGAGGTGATAGATGACCCTATAGGTTATCTAAATGGAAAATATTTGATCACAAAACAAATAAATTCAGTGACATACTTCAAGGCCAACACAAAGTGATCATTTTTTTTGCAAGGGTTCTCACAGCTTGATACACAGGTTGGCTTCTTATAGCCATAGTAATACCAGGATTTCCTTCTCTTCCCACTTGCTATTTAACCAACCAGCTCCACCCCAAATCTGAAATATCAGCAAAATGAAGCTGACCTTAAGAGTGCCCCACTGATCAAGTAAAATAAAGGAAGCATTTACTTATTTCTTGCACATGCAGAGGGATTGCTTTAAAATATATCTAAAACCAAAATGTCTTTTTTAGAAGGGTTAGATTCGTCTTTCTTTAATGGTGTCCCTGCTTAGGACGTCCGATACTCTATCCAAGAATAGATACATGTTTTGGTTTTAGATACACTTTAACCCCTTCCCGATCACAGGATTATACTGTCACAATCATTTAGTTAATGAATGGCCCGTGACGGGATATTCCGCTCATGGGGTACAATGAGCGCTGGTCCACGGAGGGACCAGTGCTCATTGAGTTACTGCTGTTGATGGGTCCCTCGAGGTTTGAGATAGACCCTCAACAGCAGATTAGGTAGTCACAGCACAGTGATAGCTGATCGCTGTGATCACAGAGCCGTGACAGCCACAGAGCCAGCAGCAGCTCACTGTGTTTTGCAGCTGCAAGCCAGCTATGTGTTACAAATTGATACAAAGTATCTCTGAGGAGAATACTGAGAAAGTTGTTCCAAATTAAATTGTATTTCACTCCTTGTATTTTGTGGCCTATAAAATCCCAAAAATAAAATTAAATCCCAGACATATGATATACCTTATAAAATCTGGACGAATAAAATAATTTATTATGAATTACTTTCTGTTAGCTACACTAATTATGTACACATTATGTTGCCCAAACTGTGAAAAATGTGCTTTGTTTTCCATAGAAAAAAATAAGCATTTATATATGCATATGTCACACTATTTTAAATTAAAGCCCATTTTGTTCTTTAAATGGTTAAACAAACACATAGCAAAAATGTCACAATTGCTTGGGTCCCCAGGAACAAAATGTTTTTCTGAAGCTGTGTCACTAAGGGGTTAAATCTTACCATTGCAAATTTTAAGTTGTCAAGTAAAAATGTACAGATTGCCTTACTTGATTCCTGATCTGGTTACTGGTTTCAGGTGTAAAGTATTTATGTTCCAGGTACCAGGCTCGTTCATTGTAGATCAGTTTGGTTCCATATAGAAGGCAGAACTGAAACATAAGGCAGAGTTAATTGAGAAAATTAGTTACATACATCTTAACGTATTACTGTATCCTCTACCAGTCTGTTACCAAGAAGACCCCAAGACTGTCACTATGCCTTACCCCTTACACCGCTGTGAGTATTTTACATGTGCACAATGAATCATACCTCCGAAAACCATAAACCTTCTAAAAGCAGAGGACCTATAGCATAAAAGGACTACTGATTTTGTATGTGAGAATATATGTAAGCTAATTGTTTCGCAAACAATATTTTCAATAAATAAATTCACAAAGATCATTATTAGTAGGGATGCACCGTTATCGTTTTTTCGGCATTGAGCACTGATATTTATCTTTCGGTACTCGCCAGTACCAATACGGTACTTCCGGGAGCATGGAGTCAGCTTTCTCGGCCAATCAGGAAGCCGAGCAGGTCATTACTCGCCGTCCAGCTTCCTGACTGGCCAAAAAGCTGGCTCCATGGTGTTTGGCTGGCTCAATGCTGATTGGCCAGGAAGCCCTCTGCCTGGAAGTTCTGGTATTGGGGGTAAGTATCGGAGCATTTGGCCCAGTACACATCTGTTGCATATTCATGCCCAGGAGACTGGGTTGGTATGGTGTCCGTCCAACCTTTAAGGCTAAGGTTGTCCCTAATGTCTTAGGGGTACAATACTCTTATGGAATGGAATGTTTATTGACCATTTAGTGTGATATTTAACATCTGAAGTACTGAGGAAGAAATGGATGATGTGATGATCTAACCACACAACAAGATGAATCCTTACATTGCATGAAATATCAAGTGCAGATTACCTTTCTGTTGGTTGTTAAATAATGAGCTCAATTTGCTCACAGTGTAAAGTATCTTTTCCAGGCAAAGATATGGCTGTCTTCTACCCATGCACTGAAATCTACAAGGTTCATCTTGAATATTCCAGGGTTGGCTATTTACTTAAAGGGTTTCTAAAACCTCAGCTTTTTTTGCACATATCTACTGCTAGCAAGCAGTAGATATATGCAAAAAGTAAAAAAAAAAGAAAAACGATTTAACGGCGGTTTAAACTTACCTGTGTCTTCCCCGCGCACTCCCGTCCAAAAATGTGAAATTCTCAGGCGGCCACAAAGGATCATGGGGCGCGCGCATGCGCAGTTCACATTTTGGGCCGGAACGCGAGGAGGGACGCAAGTTAAGTCTATGGATGCGTGCACCCGCATGCAGAAACCATGGCACAAGAAGTGCCAGAGTAGTCAGCGCTGGATCGGAGACCCGCAGCAGTGCTGGAGAGAAGGCTGAAAACATCAGGAAAGAAGAAGATCGGATTAAGAGACATCATTTAAGGTAAGTGCTTTAATTAACGTTGGGGTGAGGGGAAAAAAGTTGCCTTTAATGTCACTTTAAGGGTAAATGAACCCTCTCTGTGGGGCTGGCAGAGAAGTAATATTTTGATTTGATTTTTTGCTGAAAGTTGTAAAGACTGGCTGGAACCAACAAGGAGATCTAATCTTCATTGTGGATTTGAAGGACATTGCCAACAATCCTCTCTTTCAGTATAGGACCAAACATTTTTTTGTTATCACAGCTTTAATAATGTGGCCTGTTTTTTTTTTTTGTCAAGTCAGGTTTCAGATACACAAGACAGATCACAAGATTCCACAAGATCATAAATAATGGCTGGTTGGTTTTTATTGATCTGGCACCTGGTACTGCTGTAATGGGAATTTTATAGATAGCAAATTGTGTTTATAAATTCTTAAACTGAGCTCTGTTTGCAGGAATATTTCTTATCTTGTCTCTTCCCTCCTACTGGTGCTGTTTTCTTACTCGGCAACCTTCACTAATGGCACTTTCACTGCATGAGCAACTACGCTGAAAGAAATCAACAAGGAACATTGTTTTTAGCACCCCCTATGCAGCCTTTGTAAGCATTTTAGAATATCCCAAGAGTTTTGGCGATCTGGCAGGACAGGCTAGGAGCATGAAATGTGCTGAGTATTTATATTTTAACGTACAATTCATTTAGGTTAACATTGGTTTCTAAAGGACAGATTTGTATTGGAAAAGGTCTGCTGAGATCATTGATAAGGTAACAGGGAAAATCTTTTCAAAACCAGCATTTGATGTTATTTATATGCAGATTTACAGTGAGGAGGCAGCAACAGCAGCAGCGTGGTCAAAGGAAAGGGTTATAGTTATTCCTGAAAATGTGCCTTTTTTCCCCTGCAATTTTGTTGCTTTTTTTTTCTTCTAAAACAAAACAAAGATGGAAAGCAGTGCTTAGTACAGTGGTTGGTGTTAAAGGAGCTCTCAAAGAGGTACCTACAATAAACTGATTAAGGAGGTGAGAGTCATAGGTAGACCACTTATATTTGACTTTTTGACGATATATAGGCATACAGAAAGATTTGGTCTCATATTCTTCTGCATTTCGGCTTTTATAATATTTACTAAATGTATGCCTTTCTCTTTGAGCACGGGAAGAGTGGAAAGTAGTCGTTAGCAGAGTACTCAGTGGAGAATTGCTATATAAAATATACTAGTAATTAAGCATGTATTGAAATATATCGGAGCATGTGATGCATCTTCTTTGTCTGGAGGATTCCTGATTAAAATAAATGGAGCTGAAGCATACAGGATTTTTTTAAACTCCAACCAAAACGCTTTTTGAAAAGTGGGGAAGAGTAAGAATGTCTGTAAGGTTGTCATTGTTCTCTCCATTGGTGAGATTTCTCCTCACTTCCTGTCTCAGCCACCACAGAGGGGAAATTATGAAAGGGGAGTAATGCAATCATAGGAGTCCTAACTTTTCCTATTCAATTATAAAATAATAAAGACTAAAAGTTATGTTTGGAATTTCACTTTATAGAGGGCAGTTTATCTCAAAATGGAAAGTCAGAGGGTGATTTGACATGAAGGCAAGACCAGGCTGAAAAAAGATCCTTCTTCTGAAAGATTTGAATGATTATGGCTATGGGAGGGAGACATTTCCAGAGTTAACTTATCTTAGGAAAAACAACTGGAAGTGGCTGAAAAAACCCCCCAACACAGCCAATTCATATTCCCCCCCGAGCTTGGTTAACTGTAGATGTCTGTGACTGTCTGATGCAATTCATAGACATGTGCAGTGTCACCAAATCCAGCTGAAATTGGCTGGACTAGGCCAGAGTATCATGTTGGTACCTGCCATTGTTAACCTCCTGCTAAAATTGACAATTGCCTGGCTGGTATACTGACTGACTGGCTTTAATACACTCAGCCTCAGAACAAGTATGTGGATCAGGAAAGTCAGATAAATGTTTATCTACACGCTTCATGTAAACATGGACACTGTGCATTTAGTGAATATAACAGTATAGACTGGAGATTTTTTGTATGCTTCCAAAATCTCCCTTAAATTAGTGTCACAAGCATCTATACTCAGTGTGAAGAAAGGCCAGCACATTTTTACTGCAAACAGCAATTGCCAATGCACGTTTTGAGGACATGAAAGGTCCCCCTTGGCTAAGAGGACATGCGTGCCTTTCAAACGTGCATCACTGATTGCTGTTTGCTCTAAAAAGCTTTTACATGGAGTGCTTGCCTTTTTAGGGACACCTAAAAAGGCAAGCACCTTGCAAGTTTGTGGGTGAGATGTCTGTGTGTGGGATGGATACATCTTTACTTTTAAGTCTTCGTTCTGAGACCAACAACAAATTTTAAACACTTGCAGACAGCTTTTTAGATGCAGGACAGAAAAGACAGATTTTTAAAAGGTGATAAATCATTAAAGTTATACGTCAATAACTATACAGTGTAGTCCAAATATTACTCAAACTACAAACTTTTCTTGATTCCTGATATTTTAATATAGCAATATTTCACGAGCACCGTTTTTGTTAAATAGATCTATCTGCTTTGAGTGTCAGAAGCACATCTTAGTCCTTTAATCATTTTATTTAGCTTTTAGTTTTAATACATTTAAAAGATATAAAGTTGTGTACAGGACTACCACTTCTTCCTTTAATCCAGCAATGGGATATGAGCGGGTTTTAGAGGTGCAGAAACATCACACCAATGTGAGGTGCATCACTGATATTAAACTACTGCATCCAGCAAGCAATAAAGCTTGCTTGCTGTTGGGGGCAGGTGATTGGAGTAGGTTCTATTGAGCTGTTCACCATTACAAGTTATACCCACACAAGCAGCACATTGACAACACTGCCTGTAGTCATAAAGAGCAGTCAATAACTGTCTGGGCTCAGAGGAAGGCATTGGATGACATTGGGCATCGTTTAACCAGAAAGTGAGAAGGTAGCTAGTGAAGGACCAGGGCGAGTTTATTCTAAACAGTTTAAAATAGCTGAAGCAGGAGCAGCCAATTGGATTCTCCCTGATGTGTCCGTAGAAGATGTGCAAACAAAAGGAAGACTATATTTGCAAAAGGAACTTGTTATTTCTTTAGACAAATTACCATCATGAGGGCCCCTATTTCCAAAACAGTCACACTCCACAAAGCATCTTCCATAAAAACAGCCTTTATTTAAATCAATCAGCAAATATACACCATTGTAGCAATCCCCAGTTGCAAAACTCTCAAAGCGTTTCACCACTTAAGCTTAATCATAGAGCAATAATAAAAATATCTAGGATTAAGCGCAAGTGGTGAAATGCGTAAGAGTTTTGCACCTGGGGCTTGCTACGATGGTGTATATTTGCTGATTGATTTCAATAAAGACTGTTTTATCCAAGACGACCGTGGAGTGCGGCTGCTTTGGAAATAGAAGCTATTGGAGGTGAGAACGCACCCTTTAGCCTGCACCTGGGACGTGGATGTCGTGTTAGTCCGATCTTGGGAATTGGAGCAGTGGGGATCTCTTGTACTATCAAGGGGGCTGTTACTACTCATAAAAACGATAAAAAAGTAAAAAACACGACGATGTATGGAAGTTGTGTCTGCTTAATTTTGCACACAAGTCTTACAGTGTTTAACTGTGCTAAACTGGTGACTTTCATGACCTTGGAATGGAAA